GACTACGTAATGAAAACCTAAACCCGCCTCTGTCCCTGTGACCAAACGTGACATTTTTGAACACCCCCTAATGGGTCATTTGGTATTTCCTAAGGTTACAATACGGAAAGACAACACTTGCTATGGTCATGTTCTTTGTTTTGTTGACCGGAATGTAAATCTAAAAAAAACTTCTTTGATGTCCATATTTTAGTACTACTGTACCTATCTTTTATAACCTTAAGCATACCTACTGAGTATTGAGTTTTTATACGGACAATTATTGTTCCAACGTTGGTTTTATAATCAGAATTGCCACTTAATTTCTACCTCTTATTTTATCGACTACAGAAAATTGCTTTGTAAGCAAGTACCTACCTAGCTATTTACAATGCCATGTTTTACCAAATTTAAATTTAGGTACCTTTGTCTGCTACCATTACTGTATTACTCCAATACACTGTATGTTTACACTTTAAGTTCATAAATAACACTAAATATTAGTTTGTATACGTAATTACACTTTTCACACCGAAGAACGAACAATTATCAACAATTATTATACGATATACATAACATAACCTCTAATTTAAAATACAGCTGTAGAATTTGCATGATTGCCTGTTTCATGTACTTCGTACTTCGCCAAAACTGTATTGTCTTGTACATGCAGGTATTAAGACACGATTTTGTTTAGTATATAAAATTGCATTTCATAATTAGGTAAAATTCAGAATTCTGTCGAGAACACGCAATAGGTATAGGTAATCACACGTATTCGGAGAAACTAATAAAGATTCTAGATGCCTCATAAGTGCTTTTTACAGATCATATTTTTTGGAATTTTAACATTATTATTATTAGGTATATTATAAAACGAAAACTATTTTTTTAAAAGAATGCTTAAGTACCTTTTTGGCCATATATAGCAGCCGCCACTGTATTTTTGAAGTTAATACTTAGATAAAATTAATATAATTATGTCAATCAACATATTAGGTGTTAAGTTTAGCTCATTTGGTGTTTGATAATATTTTCGAAAACAACATCAATACAAAAATGTATTTTTTAAAAACTTTTGTAAGTGCCTACCAATATTAAATTGTTTTATGTTATTATCCAATAAATTATTACATGCTTTCAATTTCGATGGTAATTTTATAGGCACTTCATTAAGAAGGTTATTTTACAGTTTCAAAAGTAGGTTCATTTTTTTATAAATGCAGTTAATTTATGTACCTATGTACGTATCTTACCTGAAGTAGATCTTACAAAACCATCACTTTCCAGCACTAGTTTCTTCTCCAACGAAAAAAAGACGAAACAGCTATACCTAATTAATTAAAAAAATATTTTATTGTTACCTATCTTGAAAATAAAAGAAGTTTAAATCAGGAATTTCCAGAGAAACTTTTAAATTTGTTATTTTTCGTAACGACTATTAAATAATCAACATTCAGAACTTACTATATATGTATGTATATTTTATATTCAATGTAATTACTAATAGTATAACATAATATTAAGCAACAATTTTATTCTACTTTTAAACAAGTATAATAAAATTCAAACGTATCTTTTGTTTGATATTTATCAACCAAAGTCCAATTCCCCCATTATTAAATAGTATTTGAACTTAGGAAACAGTAACTTTTCGATTAGTATCATAAATGTATCTATGCATTAAAAATTTGTTGTAGAAATAAATGCATTTATGTAAATGAGAAAATTTATATAGTTACCTTCACTTAATGCACTACATGAATTTGCTTAAAGTTAGAAATAAAAAACTGAATTAGAATTGTTTTTGCAAACGTAAACAATGCGCCATCTTACAAGCATTGATGTTAACACCGATGTTATACTCTGTTACCGTATCTATTTAAATAAAGATGGCGCCAATACGGTTTCAAATAATTGGCGGGAATGTAAGATACAAATTCAAAATGGTATAAAATTTTTACTAAATATTAGAGAAGATAAAACAAATGCACTATTGCATTCTTTAGCGATTTGGGACTAAATTTTAATTATTAAATTCTGATTGCCTTTTATTTCCTTTTTTAAATATTGACTATTCTACAGCCTATAGCGTTTTGTTTTAAATGTAGCTTTATATCAGGAAAACAGTAAATTCAATTATTATTAGGCTTCCCTTGATTTAATATAACAGTAGGTAATTGATCTGTAATTGAATAACCGAAATTGAAATTTATATTGGCAGATCAACTCCCACACAAAAATTTCCTAGCTAATACGTCAATAGCTGCACAAGAACCCTACGGAGGTCGCACGTTCTCTATCCTTGTACGTATCCTTATGTTTAGTTTTTAGCTCACCACTACTTACTTTATAGCTTACATGATAGCAGATAAATAATTAACTAAAAATTAACACTTACTAAGTTTAAAAATTTGTATGCAACAATTTGTTTAGGATTATTGTAAAGGGATTTTCTTTATAGTGGACAGATATAACAATAGCAAACATTTTGTCTTTACCTAATCTTGTTTTATATTTTTTGGGACCATTAACTTCTATTTTTAATATTTTGTTGGATACGCGACAATGTCTTCTAAGAGAAAAAGAAGAAAACCATCACTTTAATTGGTTCAAACAGCCAGTACCATTTCTCGATCACCATATTCAATTCGCAATTTATAAAAATGGCGGAATGGAGGAATTTGACTGCGACATTTATAAAACTTCGATAATTTTTTATTGATACCTTTTGATTCACTGTAGTTTTTACTACAGCCTATACATAGCAAAATAACCAAAATCAAAAAAAAAGGGAACACGAGACTGAAGTGGTAAAAGTAAAACAGTTTTACCAATGACAACCCTAATTACCTATTATACATATGCAAAGTATATTATTATTAGACTGCCAAAAATATTACATGTACTTTTTTTCACATTAACATATGTTAATAAAGTAATTAAAGTGCCTATTCACAATTTACAATACAAAATATCTTTTTGAAAAAATCTATAGATGTACCTGTAAGTAGAAAATGTTAATTCCAGTTAAATACCTATTCGTGAAGTGTGAGTAATTATTTTTTTACACACGTGTTCACCGAAACAATTACTTATTTTGAGTGTATGAGTCAAGTTTTTCTGCAAGGCTAAAGATTATTTTAAGTCACCAATGTGCATGCGGTACACTTAAGTGTGTACATGCTATAGGTTCACTAGATTATTACTCCAGCCCCGCCTCAGAAACATTCGCGACAAAAATTGCAAAAGCACTTTTAATTTTTTTGATCTTTCGTCAACCAATAAAAATAATCATTTGTTGAATAATCGTTAGTTTACTTATTTGAACAGAAAATGCAATTACATTGAAATGAGAGCCAAGTTCAAAATTACAAGTATGCGTCATAGATTGAGATCTATACGGGTGCCAAGTTCTATGTAGAAAATCCTAAAGTTTTAGTTACAAGAATATGTAACATTCTAAAATAAATTTATATAACAATTTCTTGTTTCTTAGTACTATTATAATGCTTGTTACTTAATAGGTAATATAAATTCTTAAATTTTAACANGTATAATAAAATTCAAACGTATCTTTTGTTTGATATTTATCAACCAAAGTCCAATTCCCCCATTATTAAATAGTATTTGAACTTAGGAAACAGTAACTTTTCGATTAGTATCATAAATGTATCTATGCATTAAAAATTTGTTGTAGAAATAAATGCATTTATGTAAATGAGAAAATTTATATAGTTACCTTCACTTAATGCACTACATGAATTTGCTTAAAGTTAGAAATAAAAAACTGAATTAGAATTGTTTTTGCAAACGTAAACAATGCGCCATCTTACAAGCATTGATGTTAACACCGATGTTATACTCTGTTACCGTATCTATTTAAATAAAGATGGCGCCAATACGGTTTCAAATAATTGGCGGGAATGTAAGATACAAATTCAAAATGGTATAAAATTTTTACTAAATATTAGAGAAGATAAAACAAATGCACTATCACACAAACTCGCGGGTATCGTCTGTTAACCATCCAGAGTACAATCTTATTTAATGTGATTAAATATCGACTACTGAATTTAACAAAAATAACATATTAATCAATTTAAAAAGTAAATAAATTGAAAACATTAAAATAATAACTATATTGTAACTGTATTTTAATTTCCTAATACAGGAAAGTTATTATAAAGAATCAGAAAAACACAATTAATTTTTGTTTTACGTTTCAATGTCACTAGTCTTTTTATGATTTCGTGAAGTCGATTTTTGTATAACAAATAGACTGCATAACATTGGACCAGCCGTAATTTAATTTGTTCTTACCTTTGTATATATCTTCTTATTAGGTTTTCCATTTAAAATTAATTTAAAATATGTATTGGGAAGTTCATTGGCTGAATAGCAAAAATCGTACTTATTTGTTTAATTGTATAGCCAAAACCAATTTTGCGAATTCTTCGAGCACTGTATATTAGAAGTGTCTTTATTTTGACAATTTTTAAGTTGTATGCTTACAGGACTAATAAGGTTTGAAATAATAAAAAAAATGCCGTGTGGTATTGTTAAGAAGTTTCTTACGCTGCTAGAAAAATATCTGGAATAAGAAACTTTTTTCAAAAATTCTTACGTTAGTATTAAGTAGTGTTTGTTTGAAATTTAAGTTTGGTATCTAAATAATATAGGATTTAGAAAATTGGTTTTCGTCACTGGATATTCAATTGTTTTACTTCAGTCAAAGTATCTGTTCCAAAAAAATTGAAAGTATTGACTATTATAATTTTAGTTTTAGTTAGATAACAATAATGTTTCTTTCATTCTTTTTTTGTTTAAAAATTAATAACACATTATTCCTTATTCGTATATTATCATTAAATTATAAACATTCAACGTTTACAAACAGAAACATTTTTTAATACTCATATTGAACGGCATGAGCCCCTAGGGGCGTAATAATTCAAAAATTGTCAAAATAAGAACCACATTAATTTATATAATCCTAATGTGTATATGAATATTACAAAAAAAAAATATTAATCTTTATTGTAAACAAATTGTGACGAGCACAAATCAGTGTGAACTATTTGTTGCAATTGTATAACAAAAAAAAATTGTACTGACTGTATATGAGCATAATAACAAAATATTAAAAACTACATGAACTGTATAGCAGTATTAGTTTAATATTGTAAAATATGATATAAATGTAGATCCGGCTAATTTTTGAAAAAAACAATCTTATCAGAATCTTGTCCATTACTACAAATAAATAACGTCTGCTGATTGTTTGTTACATTTTTCTTTGGCAGATTTTGTGGACGTTAATAAAATTAAATAAATCGTATGGCAACACAAAAAATATCTACCGTTAAACTTAAAGCATACGAAATTATAATAATTATGTTAATTGCGCGATCAATTCGGGCATATTACTAATATAAAAAAAATACTAAAATATGTATAAATCTATAACCTAAAACAGATATCACACTCCTTTTATAGTTAAAAGTGAAAATGTTTAAAATAATTTAAATCTGAAAGAAAATCGGCAGTAGAGTACATTGTACACTCAATTTTTGAAATAACGCTGGAAGCCTGCAATCGTTTTACAGTTGTAGGATAGGTACGTAAGCTTAAATGCTACTGGGATGTTAAAGGTGATATCCCAACCTGTCTGGGGTCACCTGTGCCAGGGGTATCGAGATTCTTTAGTAACTGTGATAGCCAGTGTTTTGTGGATTTGTCCTCTTGCAAACAGGCACTGAAAGTATTATCACGCAATTGATCTGGTAAACATTGCCTTAACGCTTCACGAGCCCTTTAAATGATAAAAAATAGTTTGTCAGATTTTTAAAACAACTTTACATAACCGATATTTTGTCAAAGAATTCTTACAATAATATTGCGTAAAAAAATAAGTAATTCATACCATTTGCTCTTATTTGGAAATAAATCAGAAATATTTGATTACTTTTGAGAATTTTGTATCAAGCCTATGAAAAATGCATACACAAATGGGGAAGTACCAAATACATAGGGGATTTATAACAATGACGGAGCAGTAATGGCAAAATATTAACTTTTAAGGCCAATGGACATTCGTTTTTTGATTCTAAAAACGATGGTTTAATTTGTTCACGATTACGGTAGACTAAAATAAAGTAAAATTATGCAGGACTTCCTTCTGATACCAAAAAGAATTTGTTCTGTTTTATTTTTAAACTATTTGCTAAATGTTACAGATCAAACATTTTTTTTTATAATTATGCAATAATCTAAAGATCTGTATAATTTATGCTATTACAATGATGATTGTAGTTAGTTAATAAAATTTTACTTACCTAGGATTATCTGACAGTCTTAAATAACACCTAACAACATGCTTCAAAAGCCTTGCAGAAGGTTCCTTCGCTAATGATAGTACCATTTTACCCTAGAATACAAAAATTGTACAGATCTCTAGTTTAATTAGGGTAAAAAACAGTTCCAACTTTACCAATATCATTGCTACATGGCTAAACCTATCATATGTTTGACAGATATACGACAATCCACTGTCATCCAACAAAATTTTTTGCAAAATAAACGTTGCAACAGTTTTACTCAATTCAGAGCCTGATTCCATTATCCGCAAACATAAAGGTATAATTTCTGTGGTTAAAAGAAACGTTATAACTTCTTGTTCATCAGTCTGTAAATAAATCAAAAAATTAATAAACTAAAATAATTACAAAAATTATTCATGTATTTTAATAATACATATGTATGTATACACATTTAACACCCACTTGTTTCCTAACTGATGATTTCATGTTGTAGTATTTAATATTAATGATGTAATTGTTTTTAAAGTTTTTTAACAAATAATACATCCAAGTTACATTTAATTACAAAACGTTGTATTACATCAAAATTTAAAATAAACTTTAAAAGTACTTTATAAATTATCCTTACTTTTTAAAACATTCATGTATATACTTTTAAGGTAAATAAATCAAATTGTTGTAAACATACCTTCACTAGGGCACCAATAACTCCTAAACTAGTTAAACGAAGATATTCGAAAGGTCGTGTCTTTGAAACAGTATGTAAAAAGGGATACAAAAACAAAGGTATATGAGCCAATAAAAATTGTGATCTTGTTTCAGGATGTGATGCAACACACTGCAGCAATGCTAGAGCATTGCAAACTCTAAAATGTTCTATTAATAACCTGTACAGTTTTTTTAAGCGATTGTCTTTTTACCTATTAGATTGATGAGCTGTCAATGTAGCAGGATTAATAGCTGGGTATATGTTTATAATTTCTTGAAGAAGAGCTGAAATAGTGCCAAAACTATTCCATAACATTGGAGCCAAATCAGGCACAACTTCCCGCTTTTTACTGTACGATAAATGAATTATAAAAAGATCCTTCCTAAATAATATGTTATAAAATTACCTTAGTTCCAGTAAAGCATTTTCTCTCGTTTCTGGGTTGGTCAATTCAAGAATCCATTGGTATATTTTTTCTCTGTCAACTGTCTGATTAGCAGGGCTTGGTTGAGTACTCATTTCTGACTTTGGTTATGAGGTTACGATTTTTCAATAATTCTCGTGTCAAAACAAACTAAATTAACAAAAGCGGCTTATATAATTCAATACTATTAATGAGACGATGTTTATTAGCAGTTCTGTTAAAATACCTACGGATATTCTTGTTGGTTAAGTGTTGACTATTTATACTAATATTCAAACTATAATATAATCAATGCAATATATGGAACAACTGTAAAAGCAAAATTTAATGTATAAGATACTGTATCAATTTAACTTTTTAAATTAATCTCACCATAAAAATTATAAAATTAATATTATGTAAAAAGTACAGCATTTGTTTGTATACCATGAAGTTAATCGCTTAACCTAATCTAAGCATGTCTGTTATAGTTTATTATGTACCTTGCCGCTTAACCGCTAATTTCACGATAGAACATACATATAATTGTGTTACAGAAATGACGTTTAATGTTATACCGAACAACTTCTAAGCCAATGATCTAACACCATAGACGTACAAATACGGTGTAATAGTGAACAGTACACATTTCCTTAATCTATAGTTATACTCTAATCTCTTTAATCATGCGTTAAGTTGAGCTTCGTTCTAATTAATACAACTTGGATATACAGAGTATATGTTGGGTTGCATACGCTCGATCGCCAAAACTAGTTATTGTGTAAATTTCAACAAAATCGTTAGGGGATTTTGAGTATTTTAAAACGCAATATATACATATATTTACATAGTATTTATTGTTTCATAAAAAAATATTTTACTGAACATATGCATTTATTGTTTAAAAATCTACACATAATTCAACGATTAACAGAAAAATTTAACAAAGTAAAATCACGTTATAATTTATGTGGATATAAAACTGTAGAACAATAAAAACAATGATAATGAACATGCGGTCTATTACATAAAAATGTTTTGGTTACTAATCGATAAAGCTTCCGATTTATACTAACAATAAGTCGGTTAAATTTAAATTAAAAAAAGGAAGTAAATTAAAATTTCATCTTCAAAGAAACTTTGCTCTTGTATAACTTGATTAAACAATTATTTTTAAATAAGCCTTACAAGTTTGTAAATTCGTTATTAACTTATCACAATGAAGCAGCACATGACTTACATGATATAAAAAATATTCAATTTTCTAGTTTAACAGTCCTAGCCGTAACTTTATACTTTTGTACTTAATGATCTACTATTTTTGTAAAGCACTTGTTGTTCCTATGATTCATTTAATGCATAATTAATAATTCAAAAATAACAGAACTAATTATGGAGCATTTTCTTGAACCACTGAACTGTTCTGCTTAAAATAAAACCAAAACGTGTTGGTTTTGCATAAATAAAATTATTTACAACCCTATTTGGGCTTTTTATATATTCAGAAAAGAACTGAGATGAGCAGTTTTTCTGAAATATTTTTGAAGCTCTGTAAATCCATTACTGCTTGTTATTAAAAATTAAATTAACATTAAGTTACTTATTCTGCATGATACTCAGGTAAATAAAAGAATTTCGATAGGGTACCTTTTTTTTCAGGAACCATTACTTTTGAGCCCCATCTTTTACTAATTACATCCTGCTGAACTAGAGTACAAATATCTTCAAAATGATACCTGTTATATAAATTAACAAAGTTAAATAAAAATCCGAATTTATATTATTATTAACTTACTCATGCCAGTGATTCTTCAAATTTTGACAGAAGGATTGTATAAACCAAGTACCATTTTTTTTATCTCTCACTGCACCAAAACCAGGAATTGTTGCAGTAAATACAAACATATCAGCATAAGCAATTGCTTCCACAGGACTGTCCATCTCCAAAGAGTCTATTTCCTCATTTATATCAACATTTATAACTTAAATGAAATGATTACTTATAAAAGTACATTAGAATTGCATTTAAGTAGTTATACCTTCCTGGCATTTACTGCCCTGGCATGCTTGTAGAATTAAAATCTTTGGCTTTTCTCTTAAATTCTTCAGATTTTTCCTGCACATGCTATTTTTAATCTTATTAACATCAACAGGAATACTGTTAACTCCATAAACTTTACCTAAAATATTTCCTTATTAACTATAGCTAATGATTTGAAAAGCTTATTTTATTCTTATTAGGTTGCAAACTTCTTAAAATTATTAATTATTACACTAAATATCGTGTATAAGAGGTTTACCCGTTGATCTTTCAAATAATTAAAAATAAACATGCTCTACTGCACTTATCTCAAACAAGAGTATAAGGAAGATTACAGAGATTGGTCAGTAAAGATGAAGTGAGGGGAAAAAGTTCACGAATAGCAATAAAAGAATGTGTTTAGTGGATAATCCGATAGTAACGATGAAAAATAAAAGTAATTCATTCACCTTCAGTACCATGGCTCAATACACATACGAAAAGACTAGATTCGTCAGTTATTTTCATTACTACTTGCTCTATAACAGTAATAATCTCTGCATGAGTTTTGTTTTTCTCAATATATACTGTGAATCCAAATGCTTTAAATGTTTCTTTTAATAGTACTTTATCTTTTTCAGTACCCACTCTGTCTTCAAGTTTTTCATCATGTAGCAATAAGTCCTATAAAAATTGTTTTTAAAAAGGTTGGTGTCCAATTTGTTTTATTTCATTGATAAATTTACTAACTAACAGAAACCTTCAGTTTTTTTCAACAGGCTTAATAAGCCAAATCTATTTGTGATAATAATTATTACTTTTGTTGAATTTTGTCTTTTTGCTTATACATTAAAACAGAAAATTTGTTTTGTCAGTTGCAATATTATAAAAAATTGACTTTATAAAGTAATGTTTCCTAATTGACTAATGATTCTTTGAGATTTTAAATATAATTTAATTGAAATACTAAATTACAGTAAAAAAGGAATAGGTACCTTTAAATTTTGATCACATTCAGTATAAAAATTTTCCTGATCAATAATCAAACAAACACCAGGCCGATATTCATTAATTTTATAAGATAGATCAGAATTTGAAATCTTCCTATTTCTAGAATTGCAGTCATTTTCAGAGGAAGCAGACACTGATGATCTACGGCTAAAATCACTTCCACCTAATTCCATAACTCCAACATTTTGATCTACACAAAAGTTGCTAACTTTATCAGACATTCTTTTTTGACTTTGGCATGTTTCCAAAGCATATTTTTTCTTAGTACCATTCTTCAATGGTTTTATTTCTTCACAACCATTACTTTTGCAAAATTTTTTCAGTTGATCATAAAATGCTTCAATACCAAGTTCTTTTAGTATTTGGGCAAATGAGCTCATATCATCAAGTGATATGCATTTTGTACTTAATAAAGATAACAGTGTTATTTCTAAATTTTCACTGCTGTAGTGTATGTTACAATCTTTGTACTTATTTTGTAAGTATGAAACAAAGTTTTTGGTTGTTTTTGAATCAAAATGTTCACATAGCAAGTATAATAGTTTTTTAATTGGGTCTACAAATAAATGCCCATACATATTTCTTGGTAAAAATCTACTCTCTATGTCTTCCATCATATCTAAAATTGTATATCATCATTACAGAATTTACATTATGATAGAATTGTTTACCTAACTTTCTTATGATTGCTAAATTTTGAATTATTGCTAAAGCTTCCAATAACTTATCATGCCAATAGGGATTCGACTGAGATGATTTGGCCCATTCTGTAATAACATCACTTTCTGAACCATGTTTTAACAAAAGTAAAGTTTGTAATGCAACTTGGATGTTATCATAAAGTAAAAATACCAATGAAACCTAAAATAATTGTAGTTTTTAGGGTTTGAACTTCAACAAAACACATTCATAAATAAAAAATACATTAGTTCAATAACTGTAAATAAACAAGTTTGACATACCTTTTCATCAAAATCTAAATGTTTTTCAATAAATGGCAAATTTTCCAGAGTAATATGTTTTGTATGAATTGGGTAATTTCCTGAACTTGCTGAATTGATAGCATCAATGGTGCAGTTGATGTTATCCATTGTTAATTCGTCTTCACTTTCCATCAGTTCTGAATCGGAAACGTCTTCATCTCTGTATACAACTTCTGTATCAGAACATGTATCAGAAAAAATAGTAGAAAAACTAGTACCCATTATAATTCTAGTAAATTTGTTTTTTCCCCAAGGATTTCCCCTTTCCTATCTCAAGGAAAATATCATCGAAATATGTAGAACATATGTACAATGACATACATACAAGGTAAAACATCCGTATCACGCCTTTTTCGTAAAAGTAACTTTTTCTTGTTAGAAATGGCTTGGTGTTTTGAGCAATTTTTCTTTAAAAATAAACATTTTTAGATAACACTCCCCAGTTAACGGTTCATTTTGGCAATTCCCGTTAACGGTTAAACTCCTGTAGTACTGCTTTAAGTTGAAGAAGTCTATTTATAAGAAATTCAGATGAAAAACAGGGGGAACAGTGTTAAACAATTTTCTTTCTAAATAAATATTTTAAAGGTATATAACCTATGAGAATTTCACTCACAGTTACTACACAACCATAGAGGCACGTAAGAGACGTACCTACTTAATAATCCTTTTTTATCATTAAGATTAACTAATCGCGATAACCATTATAATCAATCATAATTTAATTTAATTAATACTGTGCTTTTTGAAAATCTAACTTTTTTTTGGAAATTAATTATTATAGAAATGCCGGCTCACTTATAAAAAATATATAAAAAAGAAAGTTACCAAAAGAAAGTAGTGGGGAAGGAAGGTGCTTTAAACATAATATTTTTTTTGTAAAGAAATAGTTACGTATATAGATACGAAATACGAAAGTACATAATCATTGTAATTCAGTAATTTTAAAATTATGGCAATAAATACTGTGTGTATTTCAAGACTCATCTAATAAAGTGGGATAAAAATCCCTCCCTAAAGTTGGTCAGGAACGGGGAGAACTTTTACCCACTATAACTTAGTTTTTCGTTTTTCCCAATAATTTCCAAATAAAGTATTTGTTGTTTAGCTTTATGCTCTTCAAAAGTGTAAAACACCTTTCCTTTCCCCCTTCATGATTTTTCTGATATACTTTTCATAAGTGAGCCATTTTTTACCATTTCTAAAAAAAAATAAGTTTCCAAAAAACCCGTGATACGAAAATTTTACCGTTATTTGCTTATGTCATGTAAACTGCCCAATATTCTTCTTTCTTTGATTAGGAAGTAAATTAAATAGCTCATTATACTTTTCTTACATATTATTATTTGTATTTGTAATTTTGTAACGTGGACCAATCAAATTCTAAGAGACTGTCGCATGTGTGTGTAGAAGTGTGTACTAGTTGCATGAACAGTTGTCAGTTGTTGTACGTTATTGTTGCATGTTGTATGGTGTAATTATCTGATTCGACCATAACAGAAAAAATTATTGTACTTTAGTTTTAAAAACTGATTGATTTATGTTAAAAATCAAAATATTTACAATGGTTTCTAATAATTAAAATGCTTTTAATTGAAACAAAAAATTATTAATTGATTATTTATTTTGTGAAAATATTAGTATAATTCTGTGTAAATTGTAAAATTGAGTATTACCAAAGCAGTTAAGTTCTTAGTTAAAAAACTTTGTGGAATTATTTAAAATGCATTTTGAACTTAAATTTGTAGTATGTGGTCTAGGTATATTTGTATGTTATTTTTATTATGGACTTCTACAAGAACAAGTTACAAGAGGAAAGTACTCTGCTGAAGTTACTTCTGAAAATGGCGAGAAAACTGTAATAAGTGAACGTTATACTTATGCATTAACTTTGGTATTTATTCAATGCTTTGTAAATTATTTGTTTGCTCGGGGGGTACTTTTTGTGCGACCAACTGAAGAAGATAAGACAGCAAAAGTTTATTATGCCAGTGTGGCTCTCACATACTTGTTAGCAATGGTATGCTCCAATATGGCTCTTCAATGGGTAGCATATCCGACCCAAGTATGATTTCATTATGTTAATTAAATAAGTTAAAATAAGTGTAAATGCACATAATTTTAGGTGGTTGGAAAAGCTGCCAAACCTATTCCTGTCTTAATTCTTGGAGTTTTATTGGGGAGGAAAAGTTATCCTTTCAGAAAGTATTTATTTACTTTTATGATAGTACTAGGTGTAATCCTTTTTATGTATAAGAATAAGAATAGTGGCTCTGCACTTGATGGGGGGTTTGGTTTAGGTGAAATATTAATATTACTTTCCTTGACAATGGATGGACTGATTGGAGCTATACAAGTAAATTTTTCTAATAATAATAATTTTTTATATTTATTCTATTTTTTTATAGGAGAGAATGCGTGCTGGATCTAATCCAAAGCCAGAACAAATGATGCGAGGTATGAATGCATGGTCCTGCATTTATTTGATTCCTGCTATGATTTGGTCTGGAGAAATAACAAAATTTATTCAGTTTGTTTCAACTCACCCTGAGGTTTTAAAACATATAACATTATTAGCTATTGCTGGTGGAACTGGACAGTTGTTTATATTTTCTACTGTAAGTATATTTTTAGTAGTTAGACTATTGTTTCATTAATCAATTATAAATAAAGACTAATTAGGACAAAAGGAGACTGTGATGAGTAAAATAAAAAACAAGAAGTTTTTACTGTAGCACCATGATAATTGATTTGATTAATATTAGGCATTGATTATTAATATTCATTTCTTTTCCCTGATAAGATTATTCCAGAAGGTNTTTTTAATTATATTATTATAGGAGTTACTTTTTAATTTTGCCTTTTGAATATGTATGTAGTCCTTAACTCGATAACTGTTGCAAATCTTACTCATGGCAATTGTAATCGTAGTTTTATTTAAGTTTTGTTACTTTGTTTGCTATCTATAGTAAGTACCTTGTGATATCTCCTATTAGTACTTGTCTTTTGGGCAAAAGTCTTGTACAATTATTTTATGCATTGGGTTATGAAATAAAATAAATAAAAATAAAATAAACATGTAATGTAATTTTGTCTTTTTAAAATATGTACTCTGTAATATTCAGTAGGAACACAAAGCTACCTACTTACTTAATTTCATACTTTTGATAGTAAAATATATTCAAGTTTGTTTAAACGCACGTATTTTGATTAATCTTGATTTTTTGTAAAAATTATGTATTTTTTGCTCGTAAGAACATCTTTTTTTCCCCATTAGCCACGCGTAGGAAGTAATTTTTCCTTATTAGTGTGCAAAAACCAATTTACGATTTAATATGAACAATCACTTAATTAACTTACCTATTTATTTTAAAATACTTATTCTGTCCTATGAGCGTAAATATGATTTCCTATGAAAATGTTCACGGGCTTTTTAACTACCATATATAAATCTTAGGTATTTACGCAATAATTTGCATTTTAGCTGGGATTGAACGTTACTGTTACTTCAAATACAGACAACAGATTGGGTACAATTTTTAAAACAATTGATTAGGCTTACAATAATCGTTTTTATTAGAGCTCGGGAAATGAATTAAATAAAAAATGGTGGTTTCAGTTTAATAAAACATTGTTCACGCAGGCCGTCACGCGATTACCTTTTTTGGGTTCCCTAACATGAAGATTACTATGAAAATGCTTAATTAAAAATAAAAATTACCGAACCAAAATATTTTCCTGGATAATCTATGGCTGTTTTCGACGAATTAATTTTAATTTATTTGATTTTATTGTACATATCAAAAGATTAGAAAATTTAAGGTTTCTCAGCACTGATTTAGGAATTAGATATTAAAGGAACGGTAACCAAGCAGCTCGTGTTGGCTCCCGGGCGCAATCGCCGCAACCAACAAAGCATTGGTTGGTTGCTATCAGTCTTGGTGTGAATGTTGGCCGTAGTAACTGGTACGATTTTACTGTACGGTTACGTCATTGTTGCTGCAGTTCAGTGCCGAGGCAACTTGTTAATAATTTGTTATTAGCAGTTGTTGTAGTAGTGGTAAGCTGGTAGGCATTAGCGCAGGCTACGGTTAGCGGCGGCAGTTGTTAAGAAAAATTGTTAATGGTCGGATCCGCGATTTAATTCGGTATACGGACGTGCCGTAGTAAGTATTGACTTCGCAAAGTCGGATTGGGTAATATGTGATGAATTGAACTATCTCGATTAATAAAGAACATTTTTTGTTCGTGACATTTGCAGTCTTCATGATTTTCATACCTCTTCATTTGAAAAGGTTTGTTAATCCATTTTATTCTTTTAATTTTTAAAGTCAAAAGTCAAAGTGATCATACATCCAAATAATTTTTGTATAAATAGCTAAATTTTAAGCAATGCTGAAAAAATCAGTCTACTTTAAGGATACTGAATTAAGGTTACCAAAAGGAATGTAATTAAAGGGAAATAATTAAAAAGTATGCAGTTTTTAACTATCCATAACAGCATATCTGCGAGTCCAGCTTTTTGCTACAGATATTGCTTCTTCTTCATCATTTTTCCACATGTTAGCTACATCATTGGCTAAAGGATCATCTGGATTTGGTGCACTTAATAAAGCTTGAATAGACAGAAGTACAGTGCGAATTTGTAGAGCAGGACTCCATTGATCTTTCAGAATATCCAAACAAATTCTACCTAATTTGTCTATGTTTGGATGATATATTTTTGTCAAAAATCTAACGGAAGGTGGACATAGTGGATAGTTTTCCGGTAAAAATAATTCTAATTTAAATAAGCCGCCCTCGTATGGGGAGCCTTTTGGACCTGCCATTATCACATGAAAATATCTACAATTATCCTCATCTGGGGTTGCACTTATGCCCGGCGGTGGGTCTTTTGAAAGGTTTTTAGTTTCAACTAATATCCTACGGCTCGTCATAACCTGCGAAAGCGGTGGAAACTTTTTTCTATTTATAGTTGTAATTTAAAATCTAATACATACATAAATTTTAAAGTAATTTTAAAATTCCAGAAACCTTACACAAGACTAAACATCATACTAAACGTACTAAACATCTCTCTTGAAGGTTATGTTCATTAGGTTCATGTCATAGATAGTTCATCTCTTGTTCATTGATTTCATCGATTTCGTAAATATTGTCCAAAATTATCTGTGAATATTATACGTATGTCTAATTATATGTAATCTTGTGGTTATTGAACTCTAGTAATTTAGGAATGGTTCATGTGAACTACAAGATAAGTCAGGGCAGATCAGTTGCTAATAATAATATTTTTTTTAAGTATTGTGGTATATACACAAATTGTAGAAAAACTTCGTCGATTGATATTTGAGAAAGGATTAAACAATAATATAAAAGCATAAAATAGAAAAGAAGACGAAATACAAACTACTTATTATTTAATTNTGTCCTACCATTCTATCTCTTCTTTTCTTATCGACTTCCCTAAAGATGCCTGTTCGCTTACCTTTTTCCAATACCTCCTCGTTTCTAACATATACTTCAAACATATATATGGACTCATTTCAGTGCCGGCCTTAAGGGAGCGCGAAGTTTAGCACCGCAGGAATGTACCAGATTTCGGGGGCGTTACTGTTGTCTAGTAGATTTTTTTTTAGTTTTGTTTTATCTGTGCGCCAGTGATCTTACTCCTTAAGCTTATATCTCAGACTGATACTGATTATTCATCGATATGATAGAACATAGTAAAATAATGAAAAATTGATATCATATTTTAGAAATCTAAACAATGCTGCCCTTCAAGAGACGCAGATTAAAATTTAATCTTTTAATAACCTTTCTTGAAAATAAATTTCTTTAACGTTTCTTTAACAAAAGTAACATGTACCTACTAAGTATTGTAGTACCTATATGTTATAAGTCTAATACATACAAAGCAATTTAATTATTAGTTTTATTATACAATGTTGATATCATAATTACATACATTTTCTCTCGATTTGACTTTACACATATAATATGTGTATGTATATATTTATCAAAATTTTGTTGATTGTAGAAGAGAAAACTATTCAAAATTAGTGAAAGAGAGGACAATAGAAAAGTTTCACCAAAATAATTTATTGTACTCGACAATATTGTTTCGATTTGATTTATTTGGCGAAACTTTTCTGTTATTTTTCGTTAATAATTTAGTTGGATATTTTATGTTTCACTAAAAATTGCACTTTTGAAAGTCGCATTTTTATTTTTTCGTTTTCAATTATGCTCCCCAATATTTCATATTTTTTAAACGCGCTTTAAGTTGATTTAGTGTTGTGCGGTGGTTAGTAGTAAGAGATGCAATTAAAATAATAAAGCGTAATTTTCAGAATATGTTTCTAGTCTTGTTGACGTTTGTTAAAATACTATTCAATTGTTTTTTGGATAATCCAGAGTATGTGTATCACCAAAAGTTTTTTTTGTCTTGTTTCATTCTTAAAAAGATTTGCCACTTGTTTTATTCATTGTTGGTAATACTTTGATTAATCATATTTATGAATGTCGACTTTTAAACAATGTTTTCGTTATTTTGTAACGAATATTAAGGAAAATTAAAAAATGTTTGAATTGTTTCATTTGTTTTACAAAATACAAACTTGATTTGTGTGAAAAACAGAATAACGAACTTTTATTTACTTTACTGTTTGTCATAAATGTTAATCTAATAATGTATTAAAACCTAATTTTAGTTTGAATTTCAATCAAACCTGTATACTTTATCTGACAGTCGAACTTCTATAATTTGAAATATTTTCTAGTTGGAATATTTTTTGTTCCCCTGATTTGCATATTGTCTTACATTTATTTCATACTCTTTAACTCTGATTTCTTTATTTTTCTAACTCGAGATTTAAGGGTTGATTTTACATCATCAGTTGTCTCATTAATTCAAGCGACAATCAGTGGCTCAAGTTTTTATGGTTGTTATGACTATGTATTTATAGCAACAATGTTGGGGAATGTACCTAACATTTTTGGTAATAGTTGTCAGTTCATCAGTAGAAATTTTTCTTAATTCGAAATTTTCTCCAATTCGAATATAATTGGTTGCATTTACGAGGCTCATGTTAGAAAAGTTTGACTGTATATCTATCAAAAAGAGTGCGGGACTATCGGCCACACAACCTATGAATGTGTGACTAATGATAAGACGAGCGCCATCACTATACGTGTTTTTTAAGAATTCTGATTTAAAAATTTCGAGTTTCGTAAATATCGTGTATATGTATATATTATGGTCATGAACAGGGGCGGCCTTAACCACTGCGACGCTCCGGGCGGGGAGATCTTTTCGAGGTCCTTGTCCTTGTGGAATTAGTTTTAATGATGGTACTTGGCGAGAAATACAAAGTTATTAATAAGTAGATTTAGAATATCAAAAAATTGTTTGTTTAAACTAATAAACGCAAAGATTATTGTTTAAAAGAATCAGGGATTTAGAAATGATGCTTGCAGTTTTTTNCTATTTGTGGTATTATCTAAAATAACCCCTGCTTACTAATTCAAACATTTTGACGAAATAAATAGACTCACCGGGGGGAGCTGGCTCCCCCTGCCCTCGCTGATCACTTCTGGATCTTCAACATTGCATCTAAAGCCGTTTGGGTCAATTTTGGTTTGCGTGCACGTTGTAGTAGTTTATTTTTTTTGCTTTCGGACGTTCGTCCATACAAAATATAGGGAAGTTCGGTTACAATGTTCGTAGTTTTCTTAAGTATCAGAAATTCAAAAATATTAGTATCATTAGTACCTAATATTTTCCTGAACGCGAGTCCCCTGCAAGAGCGAGGCTCCAGGCGGTTGCCCAGCTCGACACCCCCAAAGGCCGCCCCTGGTCATGAGTGATATCAAATAAAAGATATAGTAGTAGTAGTTTATTTTTTTTGCTTTCGGACGTTCGTCCATACAAAATATAGGAGAGTTCAGTTACATTGTTCATAAAAATTTTTCAATATTAAAAAAAATACGATAAATAAATAATTATATAAATCTGTGATTTACATATCAAAATCAGAATAAAAACGTGAAAGTTGGCATAATAGCAAAAGATGGTTCAATTAATTTTTTTCAAGACTTCAAAATCAATGTCATCATATCAACAATTTTGAAAATAACTGCAGGATTTTCGGAGTTTAGCAAATTTATGAGCATAGTTTCATTAACCGGGCCGTCGTCACATTCAAAAATTTGAAGTTTCAAAGTATAGAAATAAGGGCATTCATATATCAAATGTTCGAAGCTCGTCACAACATAGGAATCACAATTCAAACAGATTTCATCTTCACCTAAACAATATGATTCCGAACCATAAAAAAATGAACTTACATAATGACTTCTAAGGCGAGCTTGTGCGCACAGACGCATTGAGTTTAAAGGTGAGGTAAAAAGCACAAGAGCGAAAACGCGGTGTGATAAGAGATGGGTATAAACGTAGATTGGAAGAGTTCGTTTTGTTTGTTACATCTGTTTCGTATAGATATAGTGCGGCAAATGAAAGATATATACAATGTGGCACGGTACATACGACTAAAAATATGGGGATGTATTACCAAAGTAAGATTATGGTAGCGAGGCATCGGGAACCTTTATATTAGTAGGTATGAGTCTTTATCATTAGAAGGAGTTACTGTATGCATTAATGAAACATCCTGTTGAAAATCATTTGCATCCGATTTTTTTGTGTCGCTTTTTATCGAAGAAAATGTCTACAAGGGAAATGGCTACGTGGGACCGCGATTAGTTGTAAAAAAAAAAACTGCAGGACTGAAGGCAACACACTCAAGTGCTTCCGGGTTTTACACTTCGCCTCATTGTTGTTAGGTTGTTACCTCATTAGACCGAGAAGACAGGAAAAACGATACCTGATATACCTGCCGCAGTCTGCTCGAGTTCGTCGGAAATTGGCAGATCAGATTACGCACTTAGCGTGGATTGACGGTCAAGCCAAGATTGAAGATATTAAACATGTATCGTGAATGATTCAGGGTATTAACACCTTTCTTTTTTCGATAAATCTTGTTTGTCACTCATAATATCTCCCCTTGTTTACCTTATAGATTGGACCTTATTTTATTTTATTCATGCACGGAAAAATGACTTATTAATTTTTTTATTTTTTGATTTGTTTATTTATGTATTATCATTTCACGCCTTTACTGTTTTGCCGATCATCATTATAATTTTATTAATGTAAATGTATAATGTAATTAGAATGATAATCTAAAACGGTACTATTTGTTAAGGGTATTTTTTGGCCCCTTCTGGGCTGGAAAAAAGGTATCATTCCGATGTTATATTGGCTACTTTTCTTCGAAAAAATATCTACTATCGATTAATCACCATAAGGTCGTCAGTTTTAGCATTTCCTGAAAATTAAAAATCCCATTTGTGAACATTAATCTAATCTGGGTCTTCCCTGCCCCTTATTACTCCTGTTTCTGCTACCAATATGTTTCCAACTACTCCCAGAAGATGTCCTACCATTCTATCTCTTCTTTTCTTATCGACTTCCCTAAAGATGCCTGTTCGCTTACCTTTTTCCAATACCTCCTCGTTTCTAACATATACTTCAAACATATATATGGACTCATTTCAGTGCCGGCCTTAAGGGAGCGCGAAGTTTAGCACCGCAGGAATGTACCAGATTTCGGGGGCGTTACTGTTGTCTAGTAGATTTTTTTTTAGTTTTGTTTTATCTGTGCGCCAGTGATCTTACTCCTTAAGCTTATATCTCAGACTGATACTGATTATTCATCGATATGATAGAACATAGTAAAATAATGAAAAATTGATATCATATTTTAGAAATCTAAACAATGCTGCCCTTCAAGAGACGCAGATTAAAATTTAATCTTTTAATAACCTTTTTTGAATGTTCAAATTAACCGTTCGTGAGCACAGAAGTGATTTCTTTTTTCGTCTTCAATTTTTATGTTAACTAATCCGAATTTCAAAATTTTGATATATTTTTATTTCATCATCATCATAAGGTCGTCAGTCCTAAGACTGGTTGGACACGTAACTCCACTCTTTCCTATCCCTATTTGCGAACAGTAATCTAACCTAGGTCTACCGCTACCCC